CCAGCCCAACGACATTGTCATTGTCCACGACTTTTACCTCATGCTCCTGCCCAGCATGCTGCGCCAGCGCATGCCCAACATCCACATCGCCTTCTTCCTCCACTCGCCCTTCCCCAGCAGCGAGTTCCTGCGCTGCCTGCCCCGCCGCAAGGAGGTCCTCGAGGGCGTCCTCGGCTCCAACATGGTCGGCTTCCAGTCCTACAGCTACTCGCGCCACTTTCTGAGCTGCTGCACCCGCGTCCTCGGCTTTCCGTCGGATACGCTAGGTATTGACGCATATGGCGCCCGCGTCCAGGTTGGCGTCTTCCCGATCGGTATTGACGCCGCCCGCGTGGAGAGCTTTGCCTGGACCGACGCCGTCAAGGAAAAGTACGACGCCCTCAAGAAGATGTATGCGGGGAAGAAGATGATCGTCGGCCGCGACCGTCTCGACACTGTTAGGGGTGTGGCCCAGAAGCTCCAGGCCTTTGAGCGCTTCCTCGAAATGTACCCCGAGTGGCGCGAGAAGGTGGTCCTGATCCAGGTCACCTCGCCTACCAGCATCGAGGAGGGCGAGGAGGCTGAAAGCAAGGTGGCCAGCCGCGTCAACGAGCTCGTCATGCAAATCAACGGTCACTACGGCAGCCTGGGTTTCTCTCCGGTTCAGCACTACCCCCAGTACCTGAATCAAGACGAGTACTTTGCCCTCCTGCGCGCCGCCGATATCGGCCTCATCACCTCGGTCCGCGACGGCATGAACACGACCAGTCTCGAATACATCATCTGTCAGAAGGAGGGCCATGGACCCCTCATCTTGTCCGAGTTTAGCGGTACCGCCGGCAGCCTCGGCGATGCCATGCACATCAACCCGTGGGACCTCAGCGGCGTCGCAGCCAAGCTCAACGCCGCCCTGACCATGTCGGACGAGAAGCGCATGGCCATGCAGAGCAGTCTGTACCGCCACGTAACGACGCACAACGTGCAGTCGTGGATCACCAAGTTTGTGCGCAAGATCTACACTGTCCTAGGCGAGTCCAAGCCCTCGAGCGCTACCCCCCTGCTGGACCGCACCATCCTGCTGTCCAAGTACCGCGACGCCGGCAAGCGCCTCTTCATGTTTGACTACGACGGCACCCTGACGCCCATTGTCCGCGAGCCCAGCGCCGCCATCCCGTCCGAGCGTATCCTGCACGGCCTGAGCGTGCTTGCCGACGACCCCAAGAACATTGTCTTTATCATCTCGGGCCGCGACCAAGACTTTTTGAGCCAGCACCTCGGCCACATCAAGCAGCTGGGATTCTCGGCCGAGCACGGCAGCTTCATGCGCAACCCGGGCTCCGACACCTGGGTGAACCTGGCCGAGGAGTTTGACATGGGCTGGCAAGCCGAGGTCATGGACGTTTTCCAAAAATACACCGACAAGGTTACGGGTAAGCACTCCTATCCATTGTCCGTTTCTTGCTAACGATTTAGGCTCCTTTATTGAGAGAAAGAGATGTGCCCTTACCTGGCACTACCGCCAGGCAGACCCCGAGCAGGGTATCCACATGGCCGCCGAGTGCCGCAAGGAGCTCGAGGAGGGCGTCGGTCGCCGATGGGAGGTCGAGGTCATGCCGGGCAAGGCCAACATCGAGGTGCGACCGACTTTCATCAACAAGGGCGAGATTGTCAAGCGCCTGGTGGCTACCTACAGCGAGGAGGGGAGCATCGGCTTTTCCCTGTGCATGGGCGACGACTTTACCGACGAGGACATGTTCCGCAGCCTCAACGGGCTGTCTGGAACGACCCTCCATGCGGATGAAGTCTTTACAGTCACGGTCGGGCCCAGCACCAAGAAGACGCTGGCCAAGTGGCATCTGCTCGAGCCCGAGGATGTCATTGAGTGTGTCACGCTGCTGTCGGGCGTGATCGAGGGCGAGCGCCTAAGCGAGGTGAACCTGGCAGCCGTCAGCACCCTCGAGGGGCACATTCCCGAGAGCGAGGTATAATAGCGAGTCATTTAGATAGAATAGACGATAATACGGATTTTCAAGCCTGTCACACGTATCAATGGAAGTAAATCGACAGGGATGGACGTCATACCGCTCAAGGAAGTGGAGATGACGCGAGGAATGGATTTATTAAGCTGGTGCTTGATCAGCATACCGAGAAAATTCGTGTTATGGCATACAGGGTAGGCCTCGGTATACAACGTCATACCCAACCGCCTCAAAGATCAGCCAAGACGATCGACGCAAGTCGCAACGTCATCCCAGAGATGGGTATAAGAGCATGGTTCCCCGTGGGGACGTCTTGGGTCTTGGCTGTCTTGGTAAAGCTCGTCTCACCATGAAGCTCATGACAGTCCGCTTCGATCACCTTGACCCCCACCTCGAAAAGAACCGCGGGCGCGATGGCCTCCTCCACGGCCTCGACTACTCGCCCCTCCCCCGGCTGACGGGCCGCTCCCTGGCCATGGGGCTGCTCGTATCCATGGGCGGACTCATGTATGTCTTTCCTTATCATTTAGGAATCTGCTAACGGCTTAGCTTCGGCTACGATACCGGCCAGATCTCCGGGTTCCTCGAGATGCCCGACTTCCTCGAGCGCTTCGGCCAGCGCCGCGACGGCGAGTACTACTTTAGCACCGTCCGGTCGGGCCTCATCGTGGCGCTCCTCTCCATCGGCACGCTCATCGGCGCCCTCGTCGCCGCCCCCCTCGCCGACGCCGTCGGCCGTAGGCCCTCCATCTCCTTCTGGTGCCTCATCGCCTCCGTCGGCTTCGTCGTCCAGATCGCCGCCGTCGACGCCTGGTACCAGGTCATGATCGGCCGCCTCGTCGCAGGCCTCGGCGTCGGCGCCCTCAGCCTCCTCGTTCCCATGTACCAGGCCGAGACGGCCCCCGCCTGGATCCGCGGCGCCATGGTCTGCGCCTACCAGCTCTTCATCACCATGGGCATCTTCCTCGCCGCCTGCTTTAATTACGGCACCGTCACGCACTACCCAGACTCATCAGCTAGCTGGCGTATTATTATTGGCCTCGGCTGGGTCTTTACCATTGTCCTCGGCGTCGGCATCCTCTTCTTCCCCGAGACGCCGCGCTTCGACTTTCGCCACGGACGAGAGGAGCGCGCCGCCGCCACCATCTGCCGCGTATACGGCGCAACCGAGCAGCATTATGCCGTCCGTTCCCAGATCGACGAGATTGCCAGCAAGCTGCGCGCCGAGCGCAAGGTCAAGGCCTCCAGCAACCCGCTGCGCGAGTTCACCGGCATGTTCAGGGCTCCACGGATGTCATATCGCATAGCCCTCGGTGTTACCCTTCAATGCTTGCAACAGCTAACGGGAGCTAATTATTATTTCTATTATTCCACGACTGTGTTTCGGTCAGTCTCGATCAACTCGTACATCACCCAGATCATCTTCAACACTATCAACTTTCTCGTCACCTTTCTCGGCCTGTACATTGTTGAAAAGTACGGTCGCCGCAAGTCGCTCATCATCGGAGCTCTCTGGATGAGCCTCTGCTTTCTTATTTTTGGCTCGGTTGGCCACTTTGCCCTCGACGTTGAGCACCCCGAGCGTACCCAGGGCCCTGGCGTCGCCATGATTGTCCTTGCGTGCCTCTTCATCCTCGGCTACGCCACTACGTGGGGCCCCATCATCTGGGCCCTCCAGGCTGAGATCTTCCCCTCGCGGTACCGAGCCAAGGGAATGGCCCTGTCGACAGCTAGCAATTGGACGTGGAACTTCCTAATCGCCTTCTTCACTCCCTTTATCACGAGCGATATTGACTTTGCGCTGGGTTATGTTTTTGCTGGTTGCAATCTGGCGGCCGCCGTAATTGTCTACTTTTTTGTCATTGAGAGCAAGGGCCGCACGCTTGAGGAGATTGACACCATGTACCTGGAGCACGTCACGCCTTGGAAGAGCTCCAGCTGGCAGCCGCCGTCTCCCGAGCACATGGCCAAGATTAGAAGGCGGGCGGGCGTCGCGCTAGAGACGCCCGATGACGACGAGGCGCCGGGCGACCTCAAGGATGGTGGACAGGGAATCGCGCACCGTGAGAATGTTTAGAAAGTGTACGACAGGTAGTCGAGTAAATTAGATATGTAATAATTTCCCCTTTGTCTTTGTCTACTTCGCCTACTTCATCTCCTACATACGGCCTTCCGATCCTGTGCTCCCGTGGGAGAATGGTCGAGGATGTGAAGTCTTCAGCGAGTGACGACCAAGGTTGCCGCGAGAAGGCCTGTTCTGGGGTACTCGGTCAAGGCTGTGATGAGGCGGTGTCCTTGTTTCTGAAACGTGGTTTCCAGTGACTCGGTTAAAGATGCCGCTAGATGGTTTTCAGCAGGCGGTCGAGTAAATTTATTGCTGCCTTCCCATATGAGTGGCCTCTTTTGAGCTATTTGAAGGCATGGGATGGTTTAGGAGATAACACTTTCCGTCGTTCATGGTACGACGAAATGCAAACCCTCGCCACATCAGCGACAGCACAATCCGGATGCTGAAGTGACCCCGGAGTATGCGTTGACAGTCGAGGAGTCCCCTGTAGCAAATTTGGGCATCGCGTCCCCAAATGGCTCCGGATAGTGAATTAGCGTAGGTCTTGTGATATTCATTGCAGCCTACCTTGTCCCATCCCCCCTCCGAGTCCAGCTGAGGGTATCAGCGCACAGGAGCAGTGGCAAGCAATCCCTCGTTATTATCGCAAGGTTGTATATGGTAGAGCACACGAACGAATTTCACGGGGCAAAGACTTTTGCGCGTTCCTATCAATGTTCTGAATTCTTCATCATAAAACGTGCCCTCCAGATAACTAGATCCTCTATTGCTAACGAACAGCATTTACTGGCTCGGGAATAATTGGGCATTAATTATTTACCTTGAGCACCTCCCTTCAAGCATGATTCTGGTGGTTCTAGAGACCGTAGTATACAGGTGTCGGTCCATTTTTGGTTTGCTATAGCGCCGGTTGATGGTGGCGGCCGCTCTGAACCTATATAGATGGATCTAATTGTCGCCACTGCAACCAACAAGCCTCGATGGCGTAATCGGCTAGCGCATCGGTCTCATACAATGACTATGACCTAGTATTCATGCTGGGATATCCGGAGGTTGTGAGTTCGATTCTCACTCGGGGCAGCAATCTTTTTGCTGGTCGGCAACTGCGCTGATTGTTTGTGGAGGTGAGGTTATTCACCCCACCCATGATCGCAAGTGGCGCGATGGTGTGTGATACCAAGCCCTCAATATGTGGATCCCCATCTCCACTGCACCTCATTCTGATTGGTGCATCCGGCTCAGCTACTAAGCTAAATTTCACCTCCTGTAGAGTGCGGAGAAAGTAAGTGCCCTGCCAGTGGGCGCAAGTGCAAGTTTGGGGAGCCTTGCAGCGCCGTGGAGCCGTGTATGTTTTTATGGTCAGAGTAGAAGGCTGTAGGCCCTGATAAAATTATAATGGCGGTATTTTGTGTGTTATAGCCATTTTGTCGATACCGCCGCATGGTGGATCTTACAGTACAGGGAAACAGATCGCTCGACTAAGCTGCCCTTATGTACAAAGTAGTCGACTGGGAGCTCCTTGAAGACATCGCGAGCCTCGAGGTAGGTGGCACGGAACGCACCACCACAAATTCAAATACTTAGCTTGAGCGACAGTCCTCATGCCCTTTACAGTGGACATATGAATGATGATGTGTACACTGAATAATACAACTTGCTACTTCTGCATGCCTCCTAACGATGCATGGTATGCTTTCTTCACGCTATGCAAACAAGGTGGCAGACTTATTACGCCATCAACAAACAATCATTCGATACAAAAATAAATACTAGGCAGATATCAGGTCATACAGGAAACAAAAGCTAGATTGTAGGGGCTCCTTCTCGGCAGATAGACACGTATTGCGATTCCTGACCGGTAGCTGGAGGTGCTAGCAGCCAGCGAATAGGGAGCTTCGAGGATAAGCTGCGCTTCTCCTTCCACACTTCTTCTTTTTTTTTTCTCCTTCTCCAACACCCAAAATTTACTCACGGCGACTGCTTTTCTGAGCTTTTGGCCAACCTTCGCGATAGCTTCATGCTTCTCCCACCCTCCCCGCTTAGCAATGTAAGGGATCACCTACACATCCCTAGCTTCCTCTGCTTACTGTTAGCGATAGGTCTTCCAGCTATCCCGTGAAGGCATCCCTTGACGATATTGCCCAACTGCCGACCCTAGAGCTCTCCAAGCCGATCCCGTGCGATGTTTGCATTCCCTGCAAGAACGAGCATCGCAGCACAGTAATCCGGTTACCATGTCAGCATCTTTTCCCCAAAGAATGCATTACCAAGTGGCTCCTCGACCAGACCGCAAAATGTCCTCTAGATTTACGAGACTTTCGTCAAGCGATGCAGATTGGCCCGTTTACTCCCGGGGAGTTAGATGTAGGTGATTATTCCTGAAGCACCATCCTTACCCTCCTGTCCATCTCATTTGGTTTGAATTTTCAGTGCTGGTTCTAATGTAGCTATAGACAGACCATCGTACAGGCCAAAGTTCTGGTCTCCCGCCCTCAGCTCCTCTGATTTCTCTTATTCCCGGTCAACACTTTGACGGCCCTCTATCGGACCAAACTCCCGGTCCTCACCAGCACCTTGACGGCCCTCCTATGGATGGGACTCCTGTCCCTACCGAGCCTACTCGTCTGCCCAGCTATCAGAGGTCTAGCCGGAAGCCTAACTTTGTACCTACTGTTCCTCCACATAATGTAAGTAATAGCCATTCTAACTTTCCTGGCCAGAATTATTACTAATAGAGACTAATTATATATAGCCTCTATTAAATAGGTCTGAGCAGATTGGCAAGTCTATACGTGCACTGAAAAGAGCTAGAAAGATAGCAAACAAGAAGTGGAGGGACCTCTGCCCTACAACTGCGTCTAAAGTTCTTGACGGATCACACAAGGTGTGGGAAAAGGCAAACCGGGAGGCACTGGACGCAAGGCGCAGTGCGCGTGGGAATGCATAAGGTTTCACGCTGTCCACAGTGCCATGAGTTTACAGCACGGTTGTGATACAGAGGCACATATGCTGTTGGAAAGGTCTCGTGCCCTAGCTGTGGAAGAAGGTTACGATCAGTGCTGGCGGCGAAGATCTTGCGCCTTAGCTATCGAAGGGAGTTTGCGGCGTGGTGAGAGTCATCAAGTACAGGGCGAATACCGAAGAGGTGAATATTACCTACCTAGGTCAACGTCGGAGTGGTCGGGTCTGAAGCAGTGGAGCAGGTCGACGACGATTAGCAATACCGGAATACTATCACAAGGAACATTCATGAAAGGCTCAGACATACTATATCTAGTGCCAAGCGCTCATCTAAATGGGGTTATATCAAAATAAACACATAGCCAGGAGCCCATGAATAAAGCCCAATCTGGATCCGCAAGCTCGACATCATTTTCTCCTTTCTTCGTAGGGTCTTGATTCTCGTTGCCCGGAGGCTATCGGGTGCAACCTCGCTAACGGCACCGCTGCGGAATCGCGGCTGGCTTGCCATGACGTGTCTCCTGCTTCCTGGCAGTGTTTCAAGCTACCTTATTTGGTAAGCTTCTTGTTGCCGCTTTGTATAGTTACTGAGATGTAGCAGGTGGCCCGCTTGCTGGAGTGATTCCAGACCCTTCCAACAGGAACAAGTGGCCAAGCTGTTTGTGTGTAACCAGTAGGAAGATATTAGATCTTCCATGGCCCCAGTTAGATTGCAGCGATCATCCTTCTCACATCGCCTTCCGGCCTTCTTGGAGGTAGCTGGGCACAAGTATTTTGCACAGCAGCGCAAGCTGCTCGTGTGGTGCCCCCAATACAGTGGGCTGCCCAGGTGCTGGCAGCTGCAGTGGCAGAGGGAAGGAAGCCTGGAGGCATACCTACCCACCGCATAGCCCACACTTCTCTCAGTCTTTTCTTTCTCCTTTATACCAACTTTCTGACCCTCAGGCCCAAACCTCGTTTTAGGCTTTTGCCTCTCAGCGCCCAGCAATGTAAGGAGATCCTCCCTCTTCTTCCTTCTGCTTGCTTACAGCGACAGGTTGTCCAGCCACTCCTTGACGGCGTCGCTCGAAGAGATCGCCCTCCTCCCTCTGAGGGAGTCCTCCGAGCCCATATTCTGCAGAGTTTGCCTGGTTTGCCTTGATGACCATCAAAGCATAACATCTTTGCCATGCCAGCATTCCTTTCCCACAAAATGCATCACAGAGTGGCTCGTCAGTCAAAGTGCTTCATGTCCGATCTATGGGAAAGACTTTCGCATGAAGATTGGCTGTGACGCTCGCCCTCGGCTTCAAGACCGTGTTGGGAATCGAACCTCTCCTCCCGCCATTGATGACGGCCCTCGAAGGGGACAGACTTCTGGCCTTGTCACTGACACTCGAAGGGGACAGACTTCTGGCCCTGACACTGACGACGCTCGCCCTCAAAAGCGAGCTCGTATTCCTGCCAACGGCGCTTCTGCTCGACCTGGCATTGTGCCTACTCGTCCTCCAAGGAACGTGAGTATCAATGCTTCCACCTCGTCTGATATTATCATATACTAATTCGGAATGCATAGCCTATGCTAAGCAATTCTGGCATAGAAGGCAAGACGGCACGAGCATTAAAAAGAGCTAGGAAACAAGCCAATCGGGAATGGCGTGAGAGGAGTCCGGAGAGGGCACAAGCGGAGATTCGGGCAGCAGCTGAAGAATGGGATAAGACAAACATGGAGACAGTGGCTAGAAATCGCAGGGCGCGTCGAAATGGGGGAAATGATCATTAGCATGCTTCACGTTGCGTCCGACACGTTTGGGGTGGTTGACTTGAGTCTTCGTCCCATAGCTCGAACAATGAATGACGAAGGAAAGAATGGAGAAACCCCATATCGGGTGATGACTTGATCGTTACCATTATACGTTTTTATCAAGGACGGACTCTTGTTGGCTTTGACTTGCTCAATGACGGCGAGCACAGATGTCAGGATGAATAGCATCAATGGGCTTTCGCTTGTGCATTGCAAAGATATAGAAACCCCAATCAGAAGAAAGCTCCGCTAGCAATATACAAGGCTTGACGTTTCCCAAAACATGTCTTCTCATGCTATCGCAGTCTTAGCCCTGATCCCAGCCTTCTTCAGCAAGAGATTAAGGCCTTCGCCAGCGCTAGCGATCTTGACCTTTTTGAGCGGCAGCCTTCTTCCCAGGGCTCTACACCTCGTAGGTAGGGCAAGTACCACAACGAGTTCTTTGTCTTGTAGGATTTCAGATGGAGTTGAGATGCTGTAGCATCCCCAGTTTTGCTTCCCCATTCTACTTGGCCATGCTCCTTTCAATACTTCCTACGTACCTGTGGTTGGTGCTCACGTGCCGACAGCTGGAGGAAGGAGGGTAGTTCTGGCAAACCTGCACTTCCGCTGCCGTAAATTTTTCTGTTCGTTTCTTTCTTTTTCACACCAATTTTTCTAACAGCAATGCCCTCCCCTCGACTCAGAATGTAAGACACCCTATGTTTCAATGGCTTCCCTCATTGCTTACTGACAGCGATAGGTCGTCTCTCCATCCCATGGCATCCTCCGAGGATTTTGCCCAGCTGCCGAGTCTCCAGCTCCCCTACCCGATCCCATGCACGGTGTGCCTCATATGTCTAAACGAGGGCGGAAGAAAAGAAGTCATTCAGCTAAGATGCGGACATCTATTCCCAGCCCGCTGTTTGACGAGTTGGCTTGTTAGCCACAGTGCAAGGTGCCCGTTGGATCAGCTGGAGGTTTTCCCAGAGAAATCCGACATAAGTACCCTTTCATCTCCACCTTTCTGCGTTTATATCTTCAGTACTGAATTTAATGTCTCTAGCATCCCACCTTGCCAGTATTCCCACCCCATCTCGTCCGACCTAGGGATGCGAGTCGTCCCTGTCTTCACAACAGCCCTCCTAGAGCTGCGGTTCCTGGCCCTGCCGAGCCTATTACTAGTCTTATCGGGACTTTTAGGGATCCAACTGGCGGTCCCTCAGCATTTGAGGACGCTCTTGTGGATCAACTTTCTCGTCTCTCTCCTTACGACAACGCTCCCATGGATCCAGCTCCTGCTTCTACCGAGCCTCCTACCAGTCTTGCCGGCCCCTCTAGGGATCCAACTGGTCCC